TTCTCTCTCTCTCTCTCTCTCCCGCCCCCCCACACACACCTGTTCCTCTCCTACTGCAGCACAAAGACCTCTGACCCCCTTGGGCATGAGTCAGGGAACACACATGCACATTGTCATGCAGGGTCACACTAGCCACCCACTCAAAACTACCCAGAGCACCACCTGCAATCAGACTTCATCGCTGTACTCAGCAGCAGGCAACCACACAGAATGCATTAACCACAGGCAACCATGTGCCATGACATATAGTCTTATGAGTCCCATGGTTCAAAGTGAGATTTAACCAAATACATCCAACCATTTCATGCTGCACAGTGATTCTGAGTCCCACAGAGATCGTATCACTCTATGCAACCACAATCACATTTGGTCACATTCATGGGCACATGGCAACACACCATCATAGGTGGTCAGTGACTGCAGGCCTTGATAGGCAGCCATACAGGGTCCTTTAAATATGGCAGTGAGGGCTGGAGGAAACTTTTATTCTGAATAGGGGTTAGTGAGTTCCTGGCTGTAACTGAGTTGGGGACAGAAGAGTCCACAGGATACTAGGCAGTCCACTTCCTGGCCACCCCTACAAAGAAATTGTCCCCCTTGCCTGAAAGGGAATTCCTGGATCCTGATGTGGTCTCCTCTCCACCCCCTCCCACCCCCCTTACTCCCCCTCTGGCCTCAGCCAGGCTGACCATGGGAAACAGCTGAGGTTGCATGAGTCAGCAGGAAAGGGTTCAGGGAATGTCACCCAATGGGTGGTCACTAGGTTTGGAATTGCAGAAGCTTCCAAGGGTGGAAGAGCTGCTGTCCACCACAAGGGGCTGGACACTGGAGGTCACCTACTTGGGGAGAGAGGCCTACACCAGGTGACCATGCCTGCAAGGTTTCAGCTATTGGCAAACTCAGATATGAGGGGCTATGTTCCTCCCATGAGCTAAATCAGGGCTTCCCTCACCTGCTGTGGGCCTCTGTGACCACATGGTCTCCAGCTGGGCAGGGTCTGAAGTAGCCCTGGGCTACTTCAGACAATGTGACAATGCCACATACATTCATTCAGCCCCGTGTAGCACCTACCACCAACATGCATAACCTTGCCTTCCAGCAAAAAGGGTCACCCAAAAGATGATCCCAAGGTGGACTTTTAGGGCCAGAAAGAACTACAGCCAGAAGCCGGGTGCTGGTGGCTCACGCCTGTAATCCTAACTATTCAGGAGGCTGAGATCTGAGGATCAAAGTTTGAAACTAGTTCAGGTGGACAAATCTGTGAGATTCTTATCCCCAATTAACCACCAAAAAGCTGGAAGTGGAAGTGTGCTTCAAGTGGCAGAGTGGCAGCTATCAGTGAAAAGGCCAAGTGAGCGCTCAAAGCCCCTGGCTTCAAACCCCATTAAAGACACTTTTCCCCCATCCCCAAGAATCCTTGTGGAAGGAACACGTAATAAGGAGCCTGATAAGCTGAAGATGGAAGGCAGACAGGAGTACAGAAATGCAGAAAGAAGGCTGCTTGGTGTCAAATCCACCTCCAGCCCTTTTGTGCATTGGCTATTGGTATGTTTTTTGCCTGATGCACACTTGAACCATGACCCACCTATTTTTCACTTTTGGGATGACAGGTGCATACCAGCACGCCGAGCTATTGAGAATGGGTCTCACTGTATGTACAGGCTGGCCTTGATCTATGAGCCTCCCCATCTCAGCCTTTTAAACAGCTAGGATTATGAGCCACTGGCACCTAGTCTGCCTTCCTTTCTTCTTTGCTACTGAGCTCAACATGTTTCCTCTTATTGGGACCACAACCACTCTCCCAACAATGTCTGAATACTACATCTTGATCTCACTGCATCTCCCTTTTCTGGATGTTCCTGAACTTGAAGATGAGCACTGATTTTCCTTCTAATTCTGTCATAGGGGAATTCAATCATGAGAAACAGAGAAGCCACATCTTGAACGATCAGATTGGGAGTCTTTATTAGCAAGCCTGCAACTGCAGTTGGACTTCTGTCTCAAAGACCTGCAGCCCAGAATACAGCTAGCACAAAGACAAAAAACTATGTGTTTGGGGGTAGAGACCGAGCCTTGACAAAATATTAAGCAAAGAAAACCACCTAGGGGAATACTCAGAGGCAAGCAACACAAGATCATTTAGGGGAAATCAAAGGTGAGCAAAGCTTTCCTCAGGCTAAACAGCATGATATCTGTAATTCAATGAATGGCCTGTCTCACTTCTAGGCCTTGCTGGGTAGAAAGCCCTCACCACCCAGCAAGTCACCAGGATGGCTGTGAGAGCAAGGTGATATTACTTAGACCCAATATCCTTATTTCAGTCCCTCTCGTGGTCTTTTCTAGAAACAAGAGGTTACCAAAAATCAGACAAGAGGAAAATTCCAGAGGGTCTACAACATGACAAAATTCTCATATCCTAATGTGCTCAAAACTATCCCCACCTCATCTATAACACAATAGAGTTAATTCCAGATAAAATATTGAAATGAGTTTTTAAAAACACAGAAAACATGAAAGAAAACAGGGGTGACTATTTTACTGTAGAATTGGGGAAGACCATTATGAGCAGAAACCCAGAAAATCCTCATACATTTAACTACACAACATTTGTAAACGTCTGGACAAAAAAAGCTCTATCTACCAAGTTGAAGCACAAAGGACAAGCTGGGGGAAATATTTTCAACAGATAAAACAAAGGGTTTGTATCCCGAGGCTACAAAGAGCTTTTTATAAGTCCACAACAAAAAAAGGGTAAACATACAATAGAAAACTGAACAAAAGCCAAGATGGAAGAATTCATAGAAGAATGAGACTTGGTAAAAAGAATAGGAAAGATGTTCACCCTCATGATAAAAAAAAATCCAATCTGATCTATCAGGATGACAAACACAAAAGATGAAGAATATTTAATAATGATAAGATGTGAATTAATGGATATTTTCAGAAGTTTTATATTGGAGGGAGGAGAACTTTATAAGACCCATACACCTTCCAGGCTCTCATGAGTTCTATTTTCCAACAGAACAATTTTTTGCACCTCAGCCTCAGCAAGCATACCCTAAAATTAAGTCTGTCAGTACTCTTTTGTCTGCTCACTGGACCTCAACTGGTCCAAACATGATGAATCTCAGGAGTTTTGTGGAAAGCCCACAGTCAGAGATTTTTCATTCCCAAGGATGGTACAGGTCCATGTATGACCCAAACTGCTTTAGCTCTTTTTGCTACAAGGATGAAAACATATCGGAATAGGACTGAACCAAGAGAAGCCTGATGAAACTCCATACTTCCAATTCCATGCAAGCCCTGGGCTTTCCTGATGCAAGAGGCCATGCACATTCTCTATTGTTAAAACTGGTTTGAGAGATGTTTGTATGTTTGTAGTAAGAGCCTCTTCACAGAGTCCCTCCCCCTTACAGACAATCTGGGTCCTTGTCTCTAAGAGGGTTTGCCTCTGAGAAAGAAGTCCTGTTAATTCTTCTTGGGAGCTTGAGAAGAACTGACTTCCTTTCACTAGCTTGATTGTTGGGGTGATATGTGGAAGACAGAGAAAAATGTCTCCCCAGTTTCTAAACTTCCTATTAGCAATGTGAACTGCCAAATACTAGTTTCTCACTGAATTAGCTGACCACACACACTTGGGTCAGTGGATGTTAACGAAATGGGCTCTCTTCCCATAGCTTAGTCCACTCCTTCCCATCTCCACAGCTTAGCATGCTCCCTTCTTAGGCAACACTAGGCCCATGTAGTAAAGCCAGTAAATAATCAGCCTCCAACCCCCTTTACCTTGGGATGGGACTTCTCTGGGGCAGCTACCACCATATAAGGCAACAAGAGCCCCTTAGAATGACCTTCAGGTCTGGGCAGTTGCAGGACCCCTTATCTACTATTAGGATAGCAGCCATAAATCCTAGTCCGCCATGATGAAGCCCCTGGCCCACATGTCCACACAAGGATCTCTGCTTCCTAGCCCCTTCTAGCTCCTCGTAAACCTCCTAGGTTATATAGGTCATCTCAGACAATAGCAGCCACTTCTCACTTCTCTCTTGTGAGAAGGAGTCTTGCAGTCCCTTTCCTGGCAATGAACCTTTCTTTGTTCTCTGTACCTGGATGTCTGTGTGGTTCTCTGGCAAAGTCTAATTTACCCCATTAGTGGAAAAACTAGAACAACCAGATTATCATCAGTAGGGTAACCATCCATCTTGGGAACTTCTTTCTCGTCTTAAAAAGATGGCGAGGGCTGGGAAGGTGGCTCAGTGGTAGAGCGCTTGCCTTGCATGCATGAGGCCCTGGGTTCTATTCCTCAACACTACATAAGCAAAAAGAAAAAAAGCCGGAAGTGGCACTATGGCTCAAGTGGTAGAGCGCTAGCCTTGAGCTGAAGAGCTGAGGGACAGCGCCCAGGCCCAGAGTTCAGGCCCCATGACTGGACCAAAATAAATAAATAAATAAAAAGATGGAGAAACTGCTTTATTATCGTGAAAGTTATCCCAAAGTAGTCATTTACTGAAAAAAAGTATCAAGTTAAAGAAGAGAATGTAGTATTATCCTACTTTAATACTTTTGGTGACAGTACTGAGGTTTGAATAATAACCTCATCCTCTTTTTTAGCTTTCTTGCTTAAGGTTGGCATACCACTTGAACCTTCTGGGTTGTTTTGTTGTTTTGCTGATTAACTGGGAGGTAAGAGTCTCTCAGATTTGTTTTCCCTGGGCTAGCTTCAAATCAAGATCCTCAGATCTCAATCTCCTGAATAGTGAAGATGACAGGTGTGAACCATCGGTGCCGGGCCCTACTTTTATTTATTTATTTTTAACTACAAGTCTATGGTTTTACCTTTTTAAAAAAATCTAGAAGGGAGGTTGTTTCATACAACAAATATTTTTTTTTAAATCTCTGGGGACTAGAATTCTGGAGGATTTGCATTCTCCACTCCCCCCACCCCAATTTCCTTGTTGAATTTTGTAGTGCTATTAAAAAATATTTTTAAGAGAAATTCTCACCATCCTGATCTCTGGTCTACAGTTCCATGCCTTCTTCTACAATGGCAGCTGGTGGCCTTGAGGAAGCAGTCATAAGCTAACTGTGGAGTTGAATAGTCTAGGTACTCCAAGGAGCACAAACCTGGCCTCTTCATTGGTCTAGGCAAGACAGCTCCAGAACAGGTGGAGCTCAGTGCAGGGCTCAGTCATGTTGGCCCCGGTGCATGTTGTCAGGCTATAGTGACTAAGCCAACATTCCAGGCAGCCAAAGTGATGACCCACTTATTGGCTTTGTTAGAGGAAGATAGCTGCTTGGGTGGCAGGCTGAATAATAACCTCAAAAGATAGCAGTTCCTAAACCTGTGGTAGCTACAAAGTTTACCTTATATGGGGAAAAATGAAAGCCCCAACAGATATGACAAAGTTAAGAATCTTGGAATGGACAGATACTTTTGGATTATTATGATAGGACCTAATACAATCATAGGTTTCCTTAAAGAGAAACACAGAGATCTGAGGTACAAGTACAGATGCTAGAATACTACAATCACAAACCAAAGGATGCAGGTGGCCAGAGGGAGCCAGAAGTGGCAAGAAGATTTCCCCCTTCTACCTACCTGTCTGACCCTCTAATTTCAGCCCAGGGATGCTCATCTTGAATTTCTGCTCTCCAGAACGTTGAGGGACTAGATTTCCCTTATTTTTAGCCACTCATTTCACAGTGATTTGTCATAGCAGCCACAGGAAGCTAATACAGCTTCAGAAAATGAGCATGCCTGTAGTTGTACAAAAGATTCTGCTGATTCCCTTCGCTGTTCACACTGCTAAGGCCCAAATGCAAATGGGCTTGCTTGCTCTGAACATCCTTGAAAGCCACTAATGAGCTCTGGCTCCTGTGAGGGGAGGGAGTATGGCGCCGCTGCCATCTCTCACTAAGGCTTCAGCGAGGGTAAAGGCTGGTTGCCTAGCAACTACAGAGGTCTAACCAGGCACCCCACTGGGCTTGGGTTTTCCTCAAAGCTGTGCATGCCTAAAGAGATTATTAGAGTACAGAAGCTATTAAAAAAAATAACACCATCCTTCAGCTCAAAATAACTTCCTGGGTTCTAAAAATGGAATCTGCCCAGCAGGAATATTTCTTACTCTGTGCAATAGTGAAATTTCTCATTCTCTTATGCTTTGTAGGATTGTGTCTGGCTCCAGAGGGAATTGTTATTAATGGTTATTTCCACCTGATATAACCTTTTTGGTGAGCCACATGCCTGCTCTTTGCACAACGAGCTTTCCACTGCATACAGAACCTCCCTAGGGGTGAGGGTTTTGTCTGCTCTACTATCCATAGTTTTTCTTGAGTTTGGATAATAATTAATAACAATAACAATGATTATAAAGAAGTTACAAGCCAGTAGTGGCTCATGCCTATAATCCTAGCTACTCAGGAGGCTGAGATCTGAGGATTGCAATTCAAAGGCAGCCTGGACAGGGAAGTCTGTGAGACTCTCATCTCTAATTAACCACCAGAAAACTGGAAGTGGTGCGGTGGCTCAAAGTGGTAGATTGCTAGCCTTGAGCAAAGCCCCAGGACTAACCAAAACCAAACCAAAACAAGATACCCCCCCAAAAAACAACAACAATAACAAAACAACCACAAGTTGGGCATGGTAGAGCAACACCTGTAATACCAGCTTCTTGGGAGGCTGAGAGGCAAGAGAATCTCAAGTCAAGACTAGCCTTGGCTATATAATGAGTTTGAGGCCAGTGTGGGCAATTCCTAGAGACCTTGCCTCAAAATTTAAAAACAAACTAACAAAAGCAATTATGGCTTACATAAAATGTCAGGAATGTCCTAGACATTTAATTTATTTATTTTGCTTTTATATTGTACTGGTACTGGGGCTTGAACTCAGAGCCTTACACTCTTGCTTGGCTTTTTAAATCACTTGAGACATGCCTTGAATCCAGTTTTATTGTTATTAGTAGTAGTATTTATTAATTTATTAATTTTTAGTTAATTAGAGATAACATCTTGTACATGCTTATGTATGAATGGGCTTTGAACCTCAATCCTCAGCTCTCAGACTTCTCAGTAGCTAAGATTACAGGTGTGAGCCACTGATTTCCTAGGAACTTTACATATATTAATTCATAAACTTCTCACTGCTATCCAATGGAGTATGTACTATTAACTATTAATGCCTACTTCCTCCTTCTTTTCTTTCTCCTTTCCCTCCTCCTCCTTCTCCCCTTCCTTCTTTGAGATAAGGTATTACTGTATATCTCAGGATAGCAGCTAGCCCCTATCTCTTCATTCTTGATCCTCTTACCTTAGATTCTCAAGTTCCAGAATTACAGGCCTGTACACACAGGCTCAGAGAAGTTCAGAACTTGCTCAAAGGCACACTGCTGCAAAAGTGGCTGAGCTGGGGTTTCAATTTAGGTTGGTAGGCTCCAGGGTTTATATTCTTCCCTCCTGTATTAGATTGGCTGGCTAGAGGGAGCCCAAATGAGCTGTTCTGGCCAGGACCTGGCTGAGATTCGGGCTTCCTCTGTATCTCTTGTGCAACTATGGCTGGCTAAGGAAGTCTGGAAATATTTACCAGCAGCATGCACCCTACCTCAATGCTTCAGTCTTTTCTGCCACCTCTGTGAGCAGGCTGGAGAATGGTCTTTTACTTTCTAGACACCGACTTAGGTGGATGTCACATGGAGTTAATGTAAGGTCCTCAAGATTGGGCGCATGGCAAATCTAGGTTCATCCTGCTCAGTTTTTAGGCAGGTGAGTGAGTACGTAGTTAATGCAAAGTCAGGGTGGTTTCTTTGTGTTGAGCGGCTTCCAATATCTTCCTTTCCTGGGGAGGAGACTGGGGTGAAATAGGAAGAACACTTCCTAGGGTCATGGTACTCAGCAAACAGTTGTTTGCTATCTGCACCTGCACAGGCCTGGCCCATCTGTTGAGGTCACCTGGCTATACTGGTGAGGAGGCCACCGATCCTGACTTCCTGCCCTCACTTCCCCAGGTATGAGGTGATATACCACTTTCTCCGTATCCCAGACTTCCACTATGTAAATGAAGGGGCTAAACGCCTTTGTTATGAGAAAGTCCTTCATAAATCCCTAATTACTTTACAAATCTAAATTGGTTGATTGAACTTTTTTGAGAGGCAAGGTCTAAGCTGAGAACCCACAAACTTCAACTCTAATGATTTGTCAGCTTGCTTTCCCTTACTAGCAAAACTAAGAGTTAAAAACCAGCCAAGTACTAGTGGCTCATGCCTGGAGTCCTAGCTACTCAGGAGGCTGAGATCTGAGGATCAAGGTTCAAAGCTAGCCTGGGCAGAAAAGTCTGTGAGACTCTTATCTCCAATTAATCACCAAAAAGGTGGAAGTGGATCTGTGGCTCTAGTGGTTGAGTGCTAGCCTTGAGCAAAAAAGCTCAGGGACAGTGCTTAGGCCTTGAATGCAAGCCCCAGGACCAGCAGCATGAGTGTGTGCATGCACATACACACTACAAAACCACACATGTCTCCAGGGGCTGTGGGACTTAAAGAAATCATAGGAAGCTTCTCCATAGGAGAGACTGCTATCCCCAAAAGATACACAAGAGAGGCCTGCTCCTTGGATTCAGATGAAACCTAGATGTTAGAATTCTCCAGAGAAGCAAGGAGAAACTGCCAACTGGCAGCTTGAGTCTAGATAGGGCCATACGTTTTTTGTTGTCATTTAGAAAAATGAAATAAAATACTTAAAATATCTTGAGTGCCATGGGTGAAAGAGGTGGCTCCATTCCCTAGCCATGAGTCCACATTCCTCATTGCCTTGTGCTGGGCTGGGTACCCTAAATACATGAGCTGGCCACGTCTTGTCTTCAGAGAATCTGGCACAGCGGGTTTGGACATCCCAGGGGCCAGAATACTGTTGCTCCTAGCTCCACCCAGGTCTCAGCAGAGCCTGAATGTGGGGTGAAGTCTGAAGTGATCTGCAAAGACCTTCTGAGACAAGAGCTTTAGGATTAGCCCTGCGTGGAGTCTGCTGATATGGTTCCTCTCTCCTGGGATCCCTGGATTCCTCTATCCCCAGAGATGGTCATGGCAAAAGAAGGCAGTGTCTCTGTTGGAGACACTGTGGAAGAGGCAAGGGCTGGGTGTACCCTGGCCAGAAGCCCAGGAAGCCAGAACATGTTATGAAAAGATCATATCTTCCTTTTGGGCAAGAGTTCCCAGTGTTGTCCTCGCCCTGTGACCTCTATCTGAGTGCTATGCCCCTGCTGTTTGGCTCTGCTCTGTCCCTTAGGCACAGGGGTAGAGTTCCAGCTGGTTCTGAGCACAGGCACTCAGATCCCAACAGCCTCTCTGACATGGTAGTGCATGTGACCCCTGTGTGAAGGCTCAAGGGTGGGAGGCTGTCCTGGTTTTACAGAGGTCACCTGGCTGTACACAAAATACCGAGCCTCAGACATGGGGTAATTGTAGGTTAAACCTTGTGCCGCCATGCCACTTCCCTCTACAGTGCAGACCGAGGGAGATGGGATGAGATAAGAGTAGGAGACCTAGTCCAGATGACAGAAAGCCAGAAGAGCCTTTTCCCAGCTCTGCACAATGGTATCAAGGAATCCAAAGTAGCACGGAACACTTCGGTCTTTACAAGCAAAACCAGGAGATGTGGATGCCAAACCATGGTGGCTTTGGTGTCTCTGATGCTACCCTGTGTGTAACAGCTTCACCAGCCATCAGGAGATGAGTCTGCTCAGTGGGGAACCGAGCTTCTGGAATGCCAGGGGAGTGTGGGCCAGGTTGGTAGAAGTCAAGATCTGGGCACCAAGGAGTGCTCCCTGGCTGGCTCTGATGGCCCAATGGCCTTTCCTTTTCTCTGAGGCTGTTGGGGAGCTGAGTTGGGCATTGAGGCTGAGTGGGATCAAGGCGCCAAGTTTTGTGCTGTGCTGTGTGGGCCTGTCCTACTGCACTGCCTGAACAGCTAGAATTTAAAGAAGAGAAGACCAGGCCAGCCAGGGTCTTCTAGGCTGGGAAGGAGGGCCTGCCACTTGCTGGGTACATTTCCCTGGGGTTCTATGCTAACTAT